GGTTTGTACTATTATGGCTGGCTTTTTGTTTTAAAGACAGCTTTATGATCAGATTTTGTACCTGTAAAATTTACATTTTTATATTTCATTACATAAAGTGACAAGATCTACAGCAATAACTAGTCAAACACAAAAAGTATAAGCAAACCCCATGTGTACAAGGTAATGAAATAAATGGAGCACTACTTAACACGTGCACTTGTTTGCCAGGCAACAAAGTTTTCTTTTCCTTGCCCCATTACTTTATTTTGAACAGTTGTTCTCTCTGTCCTTGGTCTGATCTCAGATGCTACCAATCTACTTCCTTGACAAAGGAAGTGAACGTACACAATTCGGATTGGCTCCTCAGCAACAGACCCTTCCAGCAGAGTAAATTAAAGGTTGTCTGAAGTTTGCTTAGCTCACACTAAGACAAGTGGAAATTCACGCATAGGCTTAGTAAACAGGCTTTTTCTCATGAACAACCAATTTTAACTACTTGCATCTGAACCCATGAAGTTCAGCTCAACATAAATTAAATTTTAAAATATATTGTTCATATAACCATAAAGCTTTAGATGTGAGCTGCATCAATTGATTTAAGTTTTAAATGAGTCAACTTTTGCTAATGGTGTTAACATTTAAAAACACAGTTCTCACTAAGAAGGTAAATTTTGTTACCAAAAAAATGGGAAATACCTCAATAAAACAGATTTTTCTAGGCATTTCAACAAAGTTTTAAACTAGGGCTTTTTTTTGTCCTTGGACATCAATTTGCAGGGTTTTTTTCCTTCAGAAAGTCAACTTGAGGCAACGTCATTCCATTATATACTTCTTTGAGGATTAGGAAACATTTCTGTATAAGAGTACAGGAAGACCACTGATGCTCCTAATTAACTCAACTGTGCCTAAGGTTCCTCACCTCACCCCTCCTCCCCAACCCAAACCTGGTACATTAAAATTCAAAACAGCACATTATATACAGTGTTTGTTCTAAGCTGGGACTGCAATAGTTAATTAAACCTATTTCGCTTTCATTTAGTCACTTCCAGGTGCTCAGTGCTGCAGGATCTAAATTTCAAAACTTTTCAGAGTATTTATTTATAGACATCTGCTGTCTTATATTATTTCAAGCATGGAAACAGTGCTCTTCAAATTTTAAGAAGTTTTACAAACGTTAAATTTGAAGCCAGTTTAAACTAATCATGTTCCTTGAGAAGGGAAATCAGAACTCCACTCTAGATGTTAGTCACAAGTTCTAGGTGATCCACCTTTATGCAGACTCAAAGGGTGCGTTCTCATTCCATAGTTATCCCATCTGTATTTGTTTAGCCCTGGCTTGATCACTCTTGATGTAAATTTATATCAATGGTGCTGTGCCCTACTTCTGCTCTCACCAGTTCTCGCTGGGCTGTGTTATAGTTCTCTGCACCAGGACACAATTCTTTCCTCCAACAGCTGACAGGAACTTGCCTGTCCTTCAAGAGGGAACTTTAAGAAGGCACTTTTGACATTTACATAATTTAGCCTGACTCCTACTGCCCAGCTTTCAGACAGTTGAAGCCAACATGCACTGACCAACATGGTTAGCCAGGTAAGATGGCTTGAGGCTTTAAAGTATTCCCAACCCGAATAAAAGGGGTGGATGTGGATGACAGAAGGCATTAGCCAAAAACCCAGGTAAGAGCCTGGATTAAGTCTACAGCAAAAACACACCCAAATAAATTAAATGCACTTTAAACAGGAAAAATGGTTAAGCTAGTAAAAATGCTGTATGCAAAAGGGATGGAGAATTAAAAAAATAAAATAAAAAGATAACTCACTGATATTATGGAAGAGACAATGCATGCAAGCAACTATCAAGCTACTTGAGTTTTTATAGAGATAACCTGCCTTGCAACAAATTATTCCATGTAACTTTTTTTTTTTTTTAAATCAATGGACTACAATACATTCCTAAGAATGCCATTCTCCTTCCTTCGACCAATAAAAATATTTTCCCCTTATCAAAATTACTTGCTTCCTTATTTCTTCAGTGATGATGACCAAAATCAGGACAAAAACAAAATCAGAAAGCTTTTACATAACCTTGCAAATGCTAGTTCTTATGGCAAATTCAGTATATGGATTCACATACATAAGAAACCCATAAAAGCTGCATAAAGTCGAGTTATAAGAAACCTCAAGTTTTGACACAAACCAAAGTCAGTCAAAAGTTAAGACTCCCTAATGTACTGCTACTAAAGCAGCAAAGCAGGTATGATACCATTCAGGCTTGCATAATAACTTACAAATCAAACCAATTCTAAGCATTCATTGTAGACAGACATCATCACAGTCCTCTGAAAGTAATGATATTCTACAAACAACTGCAGCCATTTGTAAGTGAAATCTCAGAACTTTTACTAGTTTCCCATCCTTCTCTCAAAACCAAAAGGCATCAAGAGTATTTAGACGTTAACTACAGAGAAACAACTCTAAAGGATCCTTTAAAAGAAAATTACTGTCATTTGGATCATCCAAAAGCCCAAAAGACATTGAAGCTGCATGTGTGTGTGTGTGTATGCGCACGCACACACACACATTTTAAGTCTAACTGTCTGTCATACTTGCTTCCAAACTTAAGCTGGTAGCACAGCTTTCAGTATGACATTATGAACACCTCAAAATAAAGAGTCTCTGAAGGGAAACTGAAGACATTACCTAAACTATAGCGGTATAGATGGTTTTCTGAATATTTTAGCTTTGAATGCGCCACCCGTTTCTTTTCAGAAAAATGTATGTATGCTATAAAGGAAAAGGGTCACGCTTTTCAGCTAAGTTTAATACGCCCCTACGTTTGCTGGTTGTGCTGTGGGCAACAGAATCAGCTAAGCAAATGTGTTAGCCTCTATATTAAAAAGTATTCTGTTAAACTAATGAGGCTGAAAACATACACTACTTCTGTCCACAGATTAAAACATACACTACTTTCATCCACAGATAAGTCACAAGTTTCTTGCTAAGGCCGCCTTGTCTAGAGTAAGGTTTTAAAGTGTGCTATCAGAATGCGTTAGCAAACATGCGCTTTTAAAAACTTTCATCCAGATAGGACATGCTACCTTCACTAAATGCCTTGCATAGGATATTAAAATAATAGCTAGAATGCATCAGTTAACCTCATATATTAAACCCTATTCTAGATAAAGCCCACAGCACTCTAAAAATGGGTACATGCTCAGGCACTACTACATCACTGCCTTCACACCAAAAATGAAATATCAGTTGTAAGCTGGAGTACTTCTGGAGCACACATAGCGAGCAGAAAAATCTTTTCTTCACCATTTCAGAAAACCCACTTCCATCCTTGCTCCTGTTTCCCTACAGTTGTCCACAAGGGCAAAGGCAAGATGTTAAGGTCTGAGCCACTGGTTCTCAACCTTTTGAGATTCAGAGCAGCCCTCAGAAAATCCCAATTCCTAGGTTTCACTCTCTCTTTTTTTTTGTAGCAAGTCTTTGGATGAGAAGAACTCAGAAAGACCGCAACAGTTTTACCGTTATGGATTCCTATTTGAAATCTATGGGTTTATCTTGTGAATCATGCCAGCACACATAACTAGGCTAACATTGTATGGTACCCTGTGGCACCCTTTAAAGGATCTCAAGGCACCTTAGTCTAGACCTACACAAACCCTGATTTAGTAACTATAATTCTGCCATACTTCTGATTCACCTAGAAACAAATACCAAAGTACTTTTAATTCAAAAAACATTTAGAAAAAACTTAAATTAGAGAACTGTCTCATTTGGAAGGGTAGGAAAGCAACAGCTCTCTCATTCAACTTCAAATATGGAACAATTTTTTATTAAAAATAACTGTCAAGACCCATGCACAGATTGCATAAAACCTTGAACGTTTGTTGCTAGAGACGTGTCAAAAAACTGAAATAGAACAAAAACATAAATCTAACATCACACATGTAAACTTCAAATAAAAGAACACATGCCCTGACTTCGAATACTTCATTTTTATGAGTTGATGACACTAAGGCTAGTCTACAAAGTAATCTATCTATTTATGCGTCTCCCTAAATATATCCAGAATAGTGATGGACAGGTAACTATTGGAACACGAGGTGGGTATCTGCAGGATTACTGACAAAACTTCAGATCCCCAAAAAGTATAATTATTTCAATAATATCTTACGGGGGGGGGGGGGGAGTTTTGGCCAAACACGTCAGAAGGGCTATGCCATTCTCATTTGCAATGAGTTAAACAGCTTTCACTAATACTTAGGGTTATTAACTATGGCCACAAACAAAATGCACAACTTTTGACATCAGGCATCACCCAGGTGTCCTCCCCAGCACTCATTCTCAGGGAAGCAGGCAAGGCCACTGTGAAGTTGTCACCTTAGTGACAGTGTGTTAAGTTTGCTTCTCCAGGACCTTGGCATGCTTCCCGCTTGACACTGACTACCCCCTCTTGCAAAAATATATATAGTACTGGCCATAAATAATAGCACATTATGGGGGGGGTAGCTGCTGTGAAGAAGTACACGAAGCTTGCTGATTTGTTGGGGGTGACAATTTTTTTATGTTCCTTATCTTAAAAACATAAATGCAAGACCCCTCAGTTTGATGGCTGGGGAGCAGCAGGAGGACTAAGCCTTCAAGACCCTTCATCAAACAATCCCAGGGCAATCCAAAAGGGGCAACTTGCAAGTTGATGGGAAGGCAGGGAGCCCAGAGCGCCCCTCCCTCTCCCCCCCCCCCCGGCTGACTGCGGGGCTGGGGGAACCGGGCCAGGCCAGGAGGAGGGTGCGGGGAGCAAGTAGGCAATGCTGTGCCCGGCCTCTCCGAGGAGCCCCGTCCCCACGGGGGCGAACAGCCCAACGGCCTGGAGCCGGGTCCCGCCACCACAACAGGTGCCGGTGCCGCCGCCCAGGCCCGGGCAGCCCCCTCCTCTCCCGCACGGCTGCAGGCCGTGCCCAAGCTCCCCGCTCTAAGATGGCAGCGGGGCCTCGGCCGGCGGCACTTACCGTGCGCGGGCGGCGGCGCTCGGGGCCGGGGCCTCGTCACTCAGGCGGAGGCGGCGGGAGCGGG